CTGTCAACTCTCTGAAGATAAATCTCTATGAATCTCTGACTTCATGAAAAAAGCTACAAAGTTTAAATTAAATACCATACTGAAACAAGTTTGAGAGTAACAAAATATAAAAAACAACACACAATTTAAAAATTGCTGCAACAAAAACAGAATACCACCAGAAGAATGTCAAAACAAACAGACAAACATCCAAACAAACAGAAAAAACAAACAAAATGCACTACAATAAAAACAAAACAAAAGCCATGCTGTAACTAACATGACAAAACAAAAACACACTAAACTAAAAACACACAAGCTAAACAAACCAAAACAAACACACATGAGCATAACAATAAAATTAAATAAAAACTAAAAAAAAACTTAAATAGGAAACTGCAAAGAACAAAACAAAGCAAACAATCAAACTAAACATAACAAAACAAACTGTAAACAACAAACACAACAAGCTAAACGGAAAGATACAGGTATTTAAGAGGAGGTACTACAGGTCAGTTGGGTAAAAACTTTTATGTTATAGATATCACCATGAAACCTTTTATGTTTTTTACTTACATTTAGACAAATATTTTATGTATAACAAGTTGTCTGAAATTTAATTTAATTTTAATTTAATGTTTAAATATGCAAATGTGGCATTCCTATGTTTCCAGGGTTCTTTGTTTCCCAGGTTCTATGTTCCCCACTTAACCCTGCAAAAAAACTTCTATGTTCCCCGCTTATACAAAAAGGGTTCTATGTTTCCCGCTTGGTTGAGCGGGCAACATAGAACCCGGGAGATACAGAATCTTTTTTGTGTAAGCGGGGAACAGGTTTAGTGGATGTAAGTGCTACAGAAGTGGAGATTTTTGGCTCAGAGTTTGAAAATAAAAATAGAAAACAACCTTTAAAGATATGTATTGTAAAACATTTTTAGACAAAAAGTAACACTACAGGTAAATAGGGTAAAAAAATTATGACTAATAGATATCGCTGTGAAACTTCCCCAGTTGATTACTAACATAAAGATTTTGTATTACAAGTTTTCTCAAACTTGATGTTAAAATATGCAAATATGGAATTATCTGATTAAATATATACTTTTTTAGAGGGTTTATAGGCAGAGTTTGCATGTTCTCCCCGTGTCAGCGTGCGTTTTCTCCGGGTACTCTGGCTTCCTCCCATGGTCCAAAGACATGCAGGTTAGGTTAAATGGTAACTCTAAATTGTAGTGATGGCCAAATGAAGCCTTATGAATCATTTTCTTTCTTTTATGAGCCCACTAGATGGCATTTTTGTTCAACAAAAGGTTGAAAGCACACTGAATTGCCATTCTTTGAGCCTCTCTCTACAAACCAAGAGCGCCATCTAGTGGGCTCATAAAATAAAGACAATACTTCATGAGGCTTCATTTGGCCATCACTACTAAATTGGCCATAGGTGCCAAATGTCAGCTGAGATAAGCTCCAGCCCCTCCTGCCTCCCAACAGCAGTTAGGGAGGCAGTTACAGAATATGAATAAATGAATTAATCTTCACTAAAATAAACACCTATTTTCACGACTCAGAAAAAGAAGACAGATGACAACACTCCCACCAAAGAGCTCTTTGAATTTGACCAAAAAGCATGATTTATAAATTAAATAAATAAAACAATTAATAAATATCTGGTCCCAGTAGCATGTACATATCTGTAAAAAGACTTTGGAGCCGCATGTCCAACATCAGATTAAGACACGATGAAAAATAAACACATGAATAAACTGTATAAAACATTTAAATCAGTAGTTGCTTTTAAGTAGATGAAGTTTTGTGACATCAGCCCTGCCCACCTCTACATCTGATCACCTGAACACACCTGTGTGGCTGTTTCAAGAAAAGGATGAAGGTCAGATAAATGAAAACTTCACCAGCAGCAGACTTTTTGGTACATTGACTGTTTTTTTGTTTTGTTTTTTTATTCAAAACGTGTGTCTATATATTGAACATCAGAGGGCCGGTCCCCTCCTACAGTCACCCCACACGTCAATATCAATAATAATGATAACAATAGAATCATTAGAATAATAATCCGTCTGTTGTCTCTGTCCTACGGATGAGCTGAGCACTGCTGGTACAAATCAGAGGGAGGAGCAGAAAAAAATAAAACAGCAAACAAAATGATGAAACATACAACAGGAATCACTCTTTATCGTCACACACGCACGCACGTGCACACACACACACACACACACGCACATTTTACAATAACATTCCTGTGCATTTTTCACATTTTCATAAACAATTTCTTTGACTTGGATGCTGCTGGCTTATTTTCTAAACCATTTCCATGCCAAAAATTACAAAAATAACAAACAAAAAATACAGGCACTGATCTTAAATAAAAGAATGACTAAATTAAAAACAAGTGCAGGCGTTGATTTACAATTGCTCCTTTTTGTTCATACCCTGCAGGCAGGCGACTGTAAAGCAATTACACAAAGAACTGACAATATCAGCACTTATGTCGAGTAATGGGTCAACATGATTTGTTGATGTAGGGATATCGGAGAATGTCGGCAGCTGACAGGTAACTTTTGAGCTCTGATATCCAGGCATGGCGTTTGAATCATCATGACAATAAAAAAATACCATGAAAAATAGAGAGAGAGAAAAAAAGAATAAAATAAGCCAAGATTGGACACAGGACGGAAATTACAATCACAAATTTAGTTTTGCAGTTTGCCCTCCAAGTTCACCTGTGAATGTGTGTGTACAGTACATGTCTGAGCTCCACTGACTGAGGCCAAAAACAGCTTTAATACTCACCCAAATTATACACAGCTGCACTGAGGGAGTTCTTCTTTTAGGGACTGTGTGAAAGTTATTAGATCGGTGAGCGGGGGTGAAGGTTATGTTTTCCTTTTTAAAAAAGCAACACCCTCCCCTCAGAGTCTCAAAATGATACACTGTAACAGGACTGTGTTGCTACAAAGGTTTCAAAGCAAAAAATACAGTACAAAGAAAAAAATTTATGATCTTTTACTCTATTTCAAACCTTGACATTTTCACAATAGTCACAAATTGGCACTTTAGGGGGAAAATTAGAACACAATATACAACAATAAATCTCGCTTAAATAAATGATAAATATGCTGTAAGAAAATGAGAAAAGGCTTTCCTAAAAACATCTAAAAGACAACCCTCCAGCCAAAAGAGTTGCCCCTAATAACTTTCATACAGTCCCTTACAGTCCTGATTTACCAAACAACGTTTTTAAAGATCTGAACTGAGTGTCGGCACACTCGGCTGTAATGTGGCACTGTATTTCCAAATGTCAGATGGCTCTAACTTAGATATGGCTGCCAGTTTTGGCCTGGATTTGGGTTTGAGGAAATAAGCTCCAGTCGTTACAAAGTCTGACCAGCTTTGGGCCAGAGCCAGCACCTGCAGTTGGACCAGAAATTTGGCTGTATCATTCAGCACAAATCACGATTTTGTAAACTATTCATGTCAGATTTGGTTTTTAAGCAAAGCTATTTCGGCTATATAAAGGAAAAGTTCAACATTTTTGGAAAATATGCTCGAAAGCAGGCTATAACTCTCAAGTCAGGACATAGTTAGCCTAGCCTACCATGAAGACTGGAAGCAGGGGGAAACAGCTAGCCTGGCTCCTGGGTTGCAATGGTATGAGATTTTCTCAGTACGATAACTGTCTCAGAAAACACTGCAGTTTTATGGTATCACGGTATTACATAATTATTATTATTATTATCAGTCAGAATTACTCTTAAAGGAATGAAAATGGACGGGCTATTTCTGGTTAAACAAAGATTTTATTACCATATGTAACGCCCATTAGTTACACACACAGTGTAATCCCCAATTTTACAGCTTGACAATGTGTAAAGCTACTGCCTAGTAAGATTTTAGATGTAGTTGCTTATTTTCACCAGCAGGGTGTGCATTAATCCCACACAAATGCTGGCAGCGCCCCTAGTTTTCTTGTTTTTTTTTTTCTGTTCTCGTTTTTTTTTCATACGCTGATGCAAACCAGAGCACTACACGATAGACAAGTGAGCTTGATAAGGTTGATAACTGCCTGTAAAGTTGTTGAAACTACATTTTTGTTCGAATTATCAGTTCGGAGGACTTCCGTGCAAGGAAGAGAGGGTTTTCTTGCCAAACCTGACCGTGTGGATATTGATTTTTATCGAGCGAAAACTCCGGTGAGTAAATGCTAGTAGCAATTAGCGTAGCATACTAGCAATGCCGACCACAGCTAATTACCTGCTTATTTTCTTGAATATGTCTCCACCAGCAGTGTCAGAAATTAGCAAGGGCCATGGGCCATTTGGCCCACAATTTATCCAAGAATGCCCCCAAAAGCCATGTTCCGGGGGCCAAAATTGCCCCCAAGTTTTCGAAACAACTATATGTATTTATATTTTTAACAGTATTACAATCTGACATTAGTAGTATAATTAGTATGAGAAGTATAATTTTATTTTTATTAAATTAATTTACTGTCACATCTACAACTCATTTTCCAGACATAATCAATGAGATTACACTGATTACATGAGAGTAATCTGACAGAGAAGGGGAGGGGGCTTTGCTGTACCATAAGTATAAATTAACCATTTCTTGGTTGATCTGTGTCTACACAATGACAAATTAATGAAAAATTAAGGTAGAATGAATGTTAAAGTTTAAATTAACTTACTTCCAGGATTGCATCTAAGGAATTTATAGTAATTTGGCCTTTTTAACAGTATAAGTAACTGTAATGTGGTGAAACATTAGTACTGCTGTCAGTAGATTAATGGTTAAATCATCACATTTAAACTGGTTAAATTATAGGAAATCTGAGTGATATTTTGCAACCATAACTTTATGTAACCCATTATTTATTTCATTTATAGTGGTTTCTACTGAAGACTGAAGACACTATCTTAGTTGGTTTTGCTTTTCATGTGCTTATTGTTAGAACATAATTACAATTTTTTGATGGCCCCCAAACATTTTGAAAATGCCCCCATTTTTTAGACCGTGGGGGCCAAAATTGCCCCCAAAATATTTTGTTAATTTCATACCCTGCTCCACCACGTATAGTTATGCTTCTGAGATAGTGTTAAAAAAAACCAACCGGAGACTGATAAACGTGTGTTGAGTTTGAAAATGTATTCTATTGTGTATTTCTGTGGGAAAAAAAACGATGTATGTGTTAATTGAGCTAGCACATGCTATACAGCTAAGAAAGCTGGTTGTTGAGGTAAAACACACGCAGCTGTGAGCACTTGAGCTTACAGAAGGTAATTCATTTCATTTTCTTGGGTAAAAACATGATTTAAAGTCATTCATTTCATGATTTGTGCACACTAAGCTGTGATGGGTTTAAAAAAAACATTTAAAATTCATATATAGACACATAATTGTGTGTTGGCTGTTAAAAAGTTTTGTGCAGCTGTATATGATACTTTGTCATTGAATAGTTCATGTTCACTGATTTAAGATAAAAAGAGAGTTAATACTGTACAGTTAAGATAAATAGATAAAAAGATAAATGCATGAAGAAGAGAGATTAAAGAGATAAATACTAATTTATTTAAAAGAGATACTACTACTGCTCTATGCAGGTTGTTTTTTTTGTATGAGTGGATTCTTACGGTGAGCCAGAGCCTAGACCGGTGGATCGTGGAGCGGGACGCAGGCCTACACGCGTGGAGGGTGTGACGTCAGCGGGAGCTTCACTGTGCTTTGGAAAGAACATCTCTTCATACAGATACGACATAGAACATAAGAAGGACAAACTGTGAACACTGACTTAATCCAGACTTGACTTTTTGGACTCTTTTTGGACTTTATTCTTTTTGATTATTATTTTGGGCCCATATTTACTAATTCACACTGTGAAGTGTTCTGCTGTTCTATTAAGTGTTCTGAACCATTATTCAGTGCAGTTTTCTGAGTGCTGCTAATTTCTGATACAAGGAAAAAGAAGTTTTCAGTCATATCTGAAATATCCGTGTTTTGCACTTAAAGGTGGCACTTTTGCTAATAAAGGCTATTTTGATTACTGCTCTTTTCAAACCGTTGTCCTGCTCCATCAATCCTCCTTGAACGTATCTATTTCTTCTGATTGGCCTAAATTTAGAGTGCATGACAGTAATTTTATTATATGCACATTAGACAGTGTTACACATATTTGCAACTTGAAACCATTTTTTAATGGAGATAGTTTGTAAAAAGACTTCTTTTTGAAAAAAAAAGAATAAAGGTGAGATTTTTTTTTAAAATATCTTAGATAAGCAAATGTACACAGTACATTTTAATATTAGGGTATACCTGAAAGTTGTACACCATTTCAACCCTACAGTACCTGCTTTTGTCAAAAGTTAGAAACTACACCTACTACCACCTCTAAAACTTACAGATAAACACTTGGTATCTTGTTTGTTAAATCTGTACACAAACAGAAATGCTAAAACGGTGTGTGATTTTAGGTGAGATACATGGTGGAACTATTTCTTTGTGATGTCCTGTTGATTGGTTGCCAAAAGTCGTCAAAAGCCCCCTGACAGGCTTGTGTTAGATCAGGCCTGTCTTTGTGCTAAGCTAAGCTAAGCACGTCCTGACTCTCCAAACTAAACACACAGACAAGAGGCTGATATCCATCTGAACACCTAAAACATGGAAAGAAAGCAAATGGCCATATTCCCCGAACTGTTGACCTATTCTTTCAAAAACAGGAGCTAAAAATGATTAATGCCATAGTAAGTGAAAACAGGCCTACTAGTTTCTGATTGGTTGACTGTTAAAGCTGTGTAACCAGACAGCTCAAACAAGGATCTAATCAACAGTTGAACCACCTTTTTACACAAAAATAATGAACTTGGGGAAGAAGTATTTTCATTGTCTCCTCCCTGTCCATTTGTGTCATATTTTAGACCGTCTTATTTTGAGTTATCCTTTACATGGAAAAGAAGAACTGGCCCTACCCAGCACAGCTTCGTATACTTCAGGTGAGTAATGAAGCATCTGTGTGTCTGCTTTGTGGATCACAGCACCGGTTGGTCAGTTTTTCAGACGTCTGCACATACAGCAACAGCTACATCCTCCAGAGACGTCCAAATGATTGACATATGACCATGAAACTGTACAGCTGCTCTGCTACTGTGTGTGTGTATGTGTGTGTGTGTTTAGATCTCCCTCTATACAAACACCTGCTTCAGTATTCAAACATTAAGAGAAAGGGTCCTCCTCACTTGGCACGGAGCGTGATGATTGGCCGAGGCAAGAGGTGAGGGACTGAATGTGGGCACAACAAATAAGCCCCCAGGATGGTGTCCATTTGGCAGCCACTTCCTGTTTGTCCGTCCTCTGCAGCCCTGTGATCCAAACACCTCAGCTGGTTTAATCTGAAATATAACATTTGATTTTATCCTCCCTGCACTCAGGTCAAAGTGGTTTAATCTGTCCAACCCTGTGGAAAGGTTTCTGGTATGATCCACTGAGCCAAAGTGGCGCTGTGGTTATGAATAACCCTGCAAATGGGTCCAAATGGTTTCTTCTATCCACCCCTGCTGATAGGCCAGTTTGGACTGTTTCAGCTGCATCTTTGGGGCCAAAAAGTAAAATTCACAGAGGGCTTAAAACCACGATCTTTGACCCCTCTGATGATGGCCTACACAGTGTGTCTCTGCTCAGTTGTGCCCTGACAATAAGTCTGATGGTGGGCGTGTTGGTGTCTTGGGTGGAGGCAGTGGCCGAGGTGGTGGCGGCGGTTTGGTACTTGCCCGTCGTGGGCTCCCTGTCCCCCCACCTCCATCGCTGTCGGCTCTGTCTGCTGGGATCGGAGGAGGTGGCGGCGGGAGGCGGGGCAGTGACATGGAGCCGTGGTGGTAGTGGAGGTGGTGGTGGGGGTTGTGGCGGAGGTGGTGACCCGACGTCATTCCAGAAGGAGGGATCCGGGAGCAGGAGGAGGCGGAGGAGGATGATGAAGGAGGGGGAGGTGGGGGAGGTGTGAGCGTGGCTGGCCTCAGGCTCTGGATCCGCCGGCACTCCTGGCAGATGCGCACATGGCTGCAGCCCTGCAGGAAGCTGCGCAGTGGGGCGGGAGGAGCCACCAGTGCCGATGCTGGAGGAGGGGGAGGAGGCGTGCTGGTGGTAGCGTTAGCGCCTAGTGGGTCCTCCAAGAGCCTCTGTGGCCCTGGGCCCAAATCAGGACCTCCTCCCAGACCTCCCCCCAGCCCACCCGTCAGCGAGCCGGTACCACTGTACAGTTTGCCGTTGCTGAGACGCATCTCACGGACCAGGCGGATGGGGCGTGGCGCAGCCAGAGCCAGGCGGGACGGGTGACGTAGGACCCCGCCACCAGCGCTGCTCAGTGGCCTGCGGCGTCGAGAGCGAGAACTCTTCTTACAGGAGACAGCGTTCCGAAACTCTGTTAGCATTTCCTGACAAACAGAGACCTGAAAGAGAGAGGAAGAAACATGACCTTACATTCCTATTTATAATATTAAGAATATTTAAGCACCAGAAAAATGTTGGCACTGTACGTTTCTGCAAAAAATGAATATGTTTCATTTGCACATTATTATGTAGCAGTATGTTTAAAATTTACATTTCAAAAATGGCGTAGTTAATGTGTGCTTAGGTTTAGGCACAAAAATACTTGGCTATGCTTTTGAAAAGATCATTTATGGCTGAAAATACACGGTTTTGGAGGCAGAATCTCAGCTGAAAACACAGCGACATCTCAGTAAAAAAACAAGCGCTTTTCATGGCATTATCCACAGTAGAGAAACAGCGATGGGTCACTTTAAAACACCCATGTTTGGGCTTAGAATCTGCTGGAAACAGAGCAATGACTCACTAGATTACAACTGGTTTTGTTGTTTGTTGGTCTCTAACAGTGGTCTGCATCTTGGCAGGTGTCTCAACTATACACCATCCACCATCCCAAGTCAGCTCATTCACTACATCACTTTAGAAACATTGATAGTTCATCTGAAACGTACAAATGTAATGTATCTGTGGTTTCCGTGGAACATAGAATGCCAACATTTTAACTAGGTGGTGGGGGGAAATATATGGTCACCGTTCTTATGTCTTATTACTTTAAAATATACAGTACAGGCGAAAAGTTTGGACACACCTTCTCATTCAATGCGTTTTCTTTATTTTCATGACTATTTACATTGTAGATTCTCACTGAAGGCATCAAAACTATGAATGAACACATGTGGAGTTATGTACTTAACAAAAAAAGGTGAAATAACTGAAAACATGTTTTATATTCTAGTTTCTTCAAAATAGCCACCCTTTGCTCTGATTACTGCTTTGCACACTCTTGGCATTCTCTCCATGAGCTTCAAGAGGTAGTCACCTGAAATGGTTTCCACTTCACAGGTGTGCCTTATCAGGGTTAATTAGTGGAATTTCTTGCTTTATCAATGGGGTTGGGACCATCAGTTGTGTTGTGCAGAAGTCAGGTTAATACACAGCCGACAGCCCTATTGGACAACTGTTAAAATTCATATTATGGCAAGAACCAATCAGCTAACTAAAGAAAAACGAGTGGCCATCATTACTTTAAGAAATGAAGGTCAGTCAGTCCGGAAAATTGCAAAAACTTTAAATGTGTCCCCAAGTGGAGTCGCAAAAACCATCAAGCGCTACAACGAAACTGGCACACATGAGGACCGACCCAGGAAAGGAAGACCAAGAGTCACCTCTGCTTCTGAGGATAAGTTCATCCGAGTCACCAGCCTCAGAAATCGCAAGTTAACAGCAGCTCAGATCAGAGACCAGATGAATGGCACACAGAGTTCTAGCAGCAGACCCATCTCTAGAACAACTGTTAAGAGGAGACTGCGCCAATCAGGCCTTCATGGTCAAATAGCTGCTAGGAAACCACTGCTAAGGAGAGGCAACAAGCAGAAGAGATTTGTTTGGGCCAAGAAACACAAGGAATGGACATTAGACCAGTGGAAATCTGTGCTTTGGTCTGATGAGTCCAAATTTGAGATCTTTGGTTCCAACCGCCGTGTCTTTGTGAGACACAGAAAAGGTGAACGGATGGATTCCACATGCCTGGTTCCCACTGTGAAGCATGGAGGAGGAGGTGTGATGGTGTGGGGGTGTTTTGCTGGTGACACTGTTGGGGATTTATTCAAAATTGAAGGCACACTGAACCAGCATGGCTACCACAGCATCCTGCAGCAACATGCCATCCCATCCGGTTTGCGTTTAGTTGGACGATCATTTATTTTTCAACAGGACAATGACCCCAAACACACCTCCAGGCTGTGTAAGGGCTATTTGACCAAGAAAGAGAGTGATGGAGTGCTGCGGCAGATGACCTGGCCTCCACAGTCACCGGACCTGAACCCAATCGAGATGGTTTGGGGTGAGCTGGACCGCAGAGTGAAGGCAAAGGGGCCAACAAGTGCTAAACACCTCTGGGAACTCCTTCAAGACTGTTGGAAAACCATTTCAGGTGACTACCTCTTGAAGCTCATGGAGAGAATGCCAAGAGTGTGCAAAGCAGTAATCAGAGCAAAGGGTGGCTATTTTGAAGAAACTAGAATATAAAACATGTTTTCAGTTATTTCACCTTTTTTTGTTAAGTACATAACTCCACATGTGTTCATTAATAGTTTTGATGCCTTCAGTGAGAATCTACAATGTAAATAGTCATGAAAATAAAGAAAACGCATTGAATGAGAAGGTGTGTCCAAACTTTTGGCCTGTACTGTACATATATAATTTATTTATTTTTTGAAGTCCACTTCTTATTGTCAATTATTTTATTTGTGTTCTTTGGTAAAACACACATACACACATATGCACACGCATAAAACAAAACTCTGTCGTGTTCATAATAAAAAAAAAAGTTAGATCTACTCTTGCATGTTGAAAAACCGACATTTTCTAAACTGTTAAATATTACAGTAATGTAATAACAACGTGAATATAAATAAACAATGTCAGTATTTATACAATTTCTGGATATGGTCATGTCAAGAAAACATAAAGAGAGAGTGAGGACATATGTGTGTGAGTGAGTAAGACTTGACACATTATGCTTTTTATCTGATTGTGTTTTAATGCTCTGCAGCTTCCCACCTCAAACTAGTGCTATCTGTGAATATGTTTCAGTGTGTGTGTGTGTGTGTGTGTGTGTGTGTGTGTGTGTGAGAGAATTCGTCCTATAACCTGTCCTATATAAACAGTCTGAGCAGAAAGTCAAATAAATGGCAGATAAATGAAGAGCGAATAAAAGTCAAAAACTGTATCTGCAGAGGTCGAACGAATAGACAGACTGAGGAAGACTGACTGCTGGAATACAGTGTGTGTATGTGGAGAGAGGGAGAGAGACAACTCAGCTTCCTGTTTAGGCTGGAATTTTAATTATTTTATCAGCAGTGACATTTAGTTCAGGTTCTTCTTTTAAAAACCACATTAATTAATACTTTTTACACAAGGACGTATGTGCATGTGCACAAGTGCTACAACACAATGCACTTTCTTGCTGCCTGTAACTCTCAATTCCACTGATTTACATTTTGTGATCTTTGAACTATAAGTTTCTGTCTGCATTCTGGGTGATTTTGAGGTATTGAGCTTTAATGGTCTCTCTATGTTAGAACAGATTGTTTTGCAGATGAAACTTTCTAATACTGAGAACTCATATTTTTTCAAGAATTAAATGTTTCTGTTTACGCAAGATAAAAACAACAACGGTTTTCTTTCTGACAGAGGGGACAGTTTCATCTTAGTACGTTTTAATTCCAGTGCTGGGTATCTGTACTTTTAAGATGTCAAAGAAAAAAACGAGTACAAAGTTGTATATTAAAACTTCTCCAGTCAAAAAATACCTGCATTCAGTCCTTTTTGTACCTAGATCTGGACAAAAGAGACAATATGTATGATTTTGCTTGAGATTTATTGCAACATGTGACTGTCCCACTACTGCAGCTGCCAAAACCCATACAGTCCGAGGTGTGGTCAGGTTGAGCACAGTGTATTTGACGTACCAAGTACCAAAAGCAGTCCCTCTGATGGTCACTTGAGGCTGGCTCCAAGAGTGAGTCAAACCTTAAAGACCCCAGTGTGAAGATGCCCAATTTTACAGCAGAAATAAACATGTCTACAGCCTGGTACAAAAACAGTTTTAGTACCTAAAGCTATTTTTTGCATTCATAGCTCATTCATTTACATTTGATTAAGGCTTAAAGTTATTCATAATTAAGGGCGTGGCTGCTTTGAATGACAGGTGGTTGCCAGCTGTTGACTACAACAATGTTGGTTAGGCAATGCAACCATGGTGTAACCCCAGGTTCATAGAGTACAGGTGTAGCCATAACTGTCGCTATTTCAGTGTGTCTATGGCAAAACGATGCTTTACTTTCTGAGGATATTTTAGAAAAGACAACAGTTCAGCAACATATTTTAATTTAGACACAAACATTTAGTGAAATCAAAGATATTCATTGAGAGATATAAACTGATGATACAGTTTTACTGACAGGCTTTTCAAAATAAAGCACCAAATAAGAAAAAGTAAGTTTTTCAGCTCCTGCTGATGCTTCCTCTCTTTATTTTTTTGTTTGCTGCTGTCTATCTGCTGTTTATTATCATTATTGTTGCTGTGGACCTCTGCTCTCCTTTCTGCTCCAGAGTTCACCTCTCACTCAGCAGGCTGGAAGAGGTTAAAGTGTGACTTTTTCTATGAACTTTTGAATAAAGAACATTCTGATCATCAGCTGCTCAAACATACAAAACACCCACCCACCCACCCACATACACACATAAACACACACACACACACACACACAAACAGACAGACAGACAGACAGACAGACAGATAGGCACACAGGCGGATGACCTACTGAGGTGTTTGAGCTGAGGTTGAGGCCGGGGGCAGGGCAGGAGGAGGAGGACGAGAGAGGAAGAGGAGGAGGAGGAGGATGATGATGAAGGTTTACCTCGTCCGTCTCGGCGGTGCGGCGCGTCGCCCACACAAACTCCATGATGGCCACGAAGACGGCAATGATGAGGCCGCAGATCAGGACCACGAATATCCCTCCAATGTTCTCCATGCCGAGACCTGAAACACAGTAACGTACAGCAGATTAATAAAACTGTGTGTTCATTTAATACAGTAGTATTAAACAGTAGCACAAAACACAAAGTTTAGCTTAAGGATGGGAAGGTCATACGTTGGCAATGGCACTAGATGAAAAGTCAAAGGATCATCAAAGTTACTTAAGTTCATCCTCCTCAAAAAAGTTCATCCTCCACATTACTGTAATGTCTGAACCATGTTCCCTGACAATCCATCTAATAGTCGTTGAGATGTTTCACTCAGAACCACAAATCAGAGTCCTGCACCGGGTTGGGTACCCATCAAGTAACCCGAAAAAAGGGGTAAAAACATTTAAAAAATGTATTTATATAAATTCATGGGTACAAGCACCGTTGAAAATGAACTAAACGCAGGCAGACAGTGGGTAAGAACAAAAATTTTTTTTTTTAATTTTTAAGAATGAAACAAATGAAAAAGATGTGCAGTATACGTTTAATATTTTGACATACAAATCACTACCATCAAGCTGCAATTCCTTTATTTCAAAGGTCAATGACACAAATCGAACCTTTGACACCGTCGTCACATCCGTCACCAACATGGAAGACAGATGAAACTGATGATGAAACTCTGCAGCTCGAGAGTGAGGTGGCAGCCTACATGGAGTTCAAGACACCCAAGGAGAATCCTTATGAGGTTTTATGGTGGTGGAAGGAGCATGCTAAAATGTTTCCTAACCTGGCAGTGATTGCGCAGAATATTTCGCCATCCTGGCATCCAGCGCAGCCAGTGAAAGAGACTTTTCTGGCACTGGATTCGTCATTCGAGAACGGAGAACCCAGCTTAATGTGAGTGACTGTAGCCTGTGTGTGTTTAATCAAAGCTGCAGGCTTTGACTTAGACATAATGACGGGTAATGGGATGATTCTGGTACTGAGCTTTATGATTATGGATGGGTGCAGGTTTTCAAAAATGAACCTGTGCAGGACTCTGCCACAAATACCAACCTGGTGAATGCTGAAATGTTTGAAAAATGTAAATGTTGTAAGCATGTCTGTCATCATTCCTCTCTGTCTAAAAGTCATTTTACCTTTTTGTTAATATGCATTTCTTGTATTTAGAGGTGCAAGTTAATGATTCAAACATTACAGAATCAATGATCCATCTGTCTAAAAGTAATAGCTGATCAAAAGCTACTTCATGTGTTACTAGCCCTTTTTAAATAGGAACTGTGCAAATTTGCAGGAAAACCCAATCAGTCTTTTTTCAGCATTGGCACTATAAAAACAAAATCGGGGAGTGCAGGAAAATGCCGCCTGCCTACTTTTGTTAATACAGAATGTGCCTTGTGAGCAAGTAACAAAACATGTAGCTCAGCACGTGAAGTAAACAGTGACGTACTCCGAGGGAAGCCGCGGCTAGTCAGTCCTTCAACGATTCTCTCGTAAGTCAGCCCGTTCTTCACCGTCCCCATCATCTGACGGTTAATGGCCTCTTCGTTTGCGAGGGCAAGGAGGGCGCGCAATTCCTTGTCTCCCCAGTTGCTCATCTTTACAGTGTCTGTCAGGTTTGCGTTTCCCTCTTGCTACTAGCTGCTCGCTAATTCCTGCTATCAGCTGTTTCCTGTTTATCCACCGCCAGTGGCTAGCACTTGCGATGTCATCAACAGCTCCTCCCACAAGTCATCAACAGCCCCTCCCGTGGCGGAAGGGCACCTCGTTCTTTTTAAACCAAAAAGCTTCCACCAATATGTCTACCCTAGGAGGCCGAAAATTGGGCACCTTGGAACAACTCGCCAATCCGGCTCTCTGTGTCTAAATTAGGGGTGTCAAATTATTGCGTTAATTGCGAATAATTAATTACAGCCATATTTAACACGATATGTTTTTTGATTGCGTTAATCTCATTTTTAATCTCTAACTTTACTGTTTCTGTATGCCACAGAGTTGCCTTTTATAAAATCCGACTGTAGGCGTACGATTGTGCTTGAGTTGTGGGAGAGCTGCAGCGCTACAGAGCAGAGCCCAGCATCAGCATTGTATGAAAAGCTGTCTGCCCTAGCATGCAAGTATCTGACCTCCCCGGCAACCTCCGTGTAATTTTCGGGACAATCAGGGCAGGATTCAGGATTCAGGACAACTGCTTGGATTTCGGGACTGTGCCAAAAATTTCGGGACAGTCCCGAAATCAAAGCAGTTGTCCTGAACCCTGAATCCTGCCCTGATTGTCCCGAAAATTACACTAGAGCAGAGTCTGGAGTAGTTATTGCCTGATAAAACATTAAAAACTAATCATGGTTGTTGAGTTGTCATGCAGCTCCCACCAGCTGCACACTGGCTGCAGCAGTTCCTACATGAATTATGGGTGTTGTAGTTTGAAGAAGAGAAGACAGCGCAAGTTGCAGCCGCAAGGACAGGGAAAGCGCAGGCAGCCACGAGAAGGAGTGATTTGCACGTTGCAGTGCAGCCTCTTGTTCTAACTGTTCAAAACGGTTCTATAAACTGATACAGCTGTAACAAATGTACCAGGTGTCTTTTATTTTATTAGCTTTTATTTTTTATTAAGTTTAAAGGACAAGTGCACTTACACTGCACTTCCATGAAATAAAACGAGAAATTGGAAAAGAGGAAAATAATTTAGAAAACTGTTAAAATAAAATTAGGGAACTGATCACAGATGTGTTGTTTCTGTGTGTTTTTACATCTATTGTTGCGTTAATCTGCAGCTATGCTTTTAATGAAGCTGACATGTCATGACAGTCAAGCACCCCCCTAGTGGTTGAGACTGAAGGTTGCAGCACTCTACACTCTACAGTGCCCCATGTACAGAGGCGATGCCTCACTGCAGTGGTCGCAGGTTCGATTCCGGCTTGCAACCCTTTGCTGCATGTCATCCCCCCCACTCTCTCTCTCTCTCCCCATTCCACACTGTCCTATCGATTAAAGGCAAAAAGCCCAAAAAATAATCTTTAAAACAAAAAAAAGAAAAGAAAAGAAAAATACAAAAAAGAAGCAGAAAAATACTTATCTACGAGTTAGAAACACCTGAGCTCAAACATGTTCTTACTCCCAACTCTTCACATATTGCTGCTTGTTCAGTGGACTATCGACGTCTACATATGACGTGCTAGGTATCCTGGGTACATCTGTTGCTGATGTTGTGGGACGCCATGTCAACTGTTAAATGTAGGCTATTGCATATTTTTAAAATACACTTCCATTTTCACAGGAAATGGACAGTTTCTGTTTTTAGATGCATACAGTATTTTCAAAATAAACTTACAATGTCAGTAAAACACATCTCCCTTAGGTTTATTTCCTTGTGCAACAAAAGCACGTGGTTGAGTTAAGAAAAAAAAAAACCCATCATGATTTGGCTCAAAATTTATATGGGAAGTGAACACTGGGCTCCTGGGTGTTTGTTGGACCCATCCACCGCCATTCCCGCCCACCCAATAGGGACTGTCTAGCTCATGAGCCCAATCCAGGTTATAAACAGATGCCACCTGGTGTATCATACCTCTATGAAAGATGGCTTTTCTCTGATGTGTCTGTGCGAAAATCACTGACAAAGTGATGGTATTTCATGACTTTGGAATGAGAATGAGTCGTGAGCTCAAAACAACCACATTGTATCGTGATCAAAATAATCTCTAATTATACAACACCTATTTTTTTTCCCCTTTATTTTTTTCAGAAAGAAAACTTGAGGAGGATTTGCTGTACAGGACCTTTCTTTCTTTGTGAGGACACACACACACACACACACACACACACAAACACTGTATACTGTGCAATCAGCAACAGTGACACTTGATTAGTCTTAATAGGTCTTAACAGGATCTTAATGGCTTGATTTTCTCAGGCTTTACACACACACACACACACACACACACACACACAGATAATTCTGCTGTGTGTCATTGTTTCCCTGTGCTCTGGGAGTAAAGAAAGCTGGTGGAACAGATGACAGAGCAGCTGATCAATACTCAGACAGGACTCACATTCCCATTACGATCGACTCAAAACATAATCTGAGTGAGAAAGTCAATGGACAGAAGCTGTCTCATCTTGTTACAGAAAGACACGTCAGGGGGAACAAAAACATGTATGTGAAAATGTCAATAATGAAAATGTTCAGTCATCATAATCACTGCAGACAAAAGAGACAGAGACAGGAAAAAGATAAAACTGGAAGATAAAATGATGGAGGTTCTACCGAGTCACAGAAGCTGTTTTTGTGTTTTATGTCTAATTTGACACCTTGTGAAACTATTGCTGGTGTAGCTGTAGGGATATACCAATGCTGGTGTTGGGTCTGTTGGGTGGTTCCACACTTTGAGTCAGACTAAAATATCTCAACAACTATCAAATGGATTGCTTTGAAATTTTGTACTGAATTTGGTAATACTTCTCTTCTAGCGCCACCAGCAGGTTGATTTTTGTGGTTTTGAGTGAAATATGTCAGCATAGGGCTGCACGGTATATGCGGTAGACGGTAGAAATGATATAAATTTGGCCCACGGTAGAGATTTGCGCTCTACCGTCCTGTCGTCGATGACGTCATCGCACCTGCCTCAGTGTGAAAATGGCTGCGAGCACAGAGACAGCGGAGCAAGAGGACCTGGTTCACGTCCGTGATTTAGCGTAGCACGTGCAACATGTGTTGCTGAAGAACTTGTGAGTGAGTGAGTTAATGTCTTATGAACAGCCCCGGACTTCTCAGACTCTTTTAGCGACTTACCGCTCAGAGTGAACTCATTCAGTCTCTCCCTCTCCTCTCTTGCCGTGCGCACATGGGAGTTGGTTTTCGGAAAGAGATTTTGTCATAAACCTTTGGTAATGTAAACCTATGTGACGCTAGGGGCTCCACAAAAAACTCCATATGTGAATGTGTGATAGTTGTGGTATCATAACAGCCTGTCACAGGTCACAGCGTGATGATTAGAGGAGAAATGGCAGAGCATAAAGGTCCAGGTGGAAAAAACACAACTCATTTAGGATTTTGCTAAAAGAAGGAAATTACCTTTTGATATAGATCCCAGGGGACATTTTGCACCATAGAGAAGTGGGTTTTAATTTTGAGTTTTGACATCTGCATTATGCACAATAAATGCTCTAAAAATACATTATATCTTTGCTTTTGTTGTTGTTGTTTTTTTTTTTATCAATTTAGCTTCGCTAAGGGACTACAAAACCCATTCAGAAACACTTCTATTATAACTTTTACACTTAAATTTATACCGCGATATATACCGTTACCGTGAAGGGATTCGATTTATACCGTGATATAAATTTTAGGTCATACCGCCCAGCCCTATGTCAGCAACTATTGGATGGATTGTGATAAAATATGGTTCGGACATTCGCCTTTCCCTCAGGATGAAATGAAATTACTCTGGTGATGCTCTGACTTCTCATCTAGCACCAGCATCAGGTCAACATTTTAATGTCTCCTATACTTTGATTTATGACCAAACACCCTCAGAACTAACGACATTCCCATCAGCCTCAGCTGTACTTTGTATTTTGTGCTACTTAGCATATGTTAGTATGTTAACATTCTAAACTAGAATGCTAAGGTTAGAACTTTACTAACCTCATAATCAGCATTGTTATTGTGTGAGCATTTTAGCATGCCCAAATTAGCATTTAGCTTAGAAAAGCCTGACAGAGCCAGGAGAGTATGAATTCAGACTCTTAAGGAGTGGCCAAACCCACTCTCACTCCCAACAAGTTAAATACCAATCCTTGGTAAGTGGCTGTGTGCGCCAGACACTGACACACAGAGGCACCCTTAGCATCAGGATGCTCACAACAACTAGCATAAAGAGGGAGAGGGTTGTATGTGAATAGGTCAAACAAACTTGAGACTTTCACCCTGGAGGCCGCTGTTTGTTTCCTGTGTGAAACCAAAAGTCAACTGCGTTTCAGTAACAATGTAGCATACTACGCTAGCGATGTATATTACGTGACGTTACATCACATTGTAACAAACCTACCTATTTTAAGTCAAACCATTAAGTTTTTTTTAAATCTAACTACTTGATTTTCTCACCTGAACCTCAGGAAGTAAATCAAAAAATGATTTTTTTTACCTACAGTGCAAGTTTCATTTGGAAAGAAACTGCATTAATTCAATGAGTGGACATTGTACATTTCTGGGAAAATCATTTTGAAAAGACGCAGTGCATGTAATGAGTGAAAAGTGATGCTGCAGGGGTACCTACAGTGTCATATTTTGATGTGTAGGGCCACTGGCCAGAGGCTGGTATTTGATGAATGGGAGTAAGGATGTGTTGTCACACCACAAAGTGACATTTGCTTATTCATCTAGGTGGGGTTGGAAGCTTTATGATGTAGTAACTAACTACAGGGCTAGTTTGTGATCTCAGGCAGCTAGGAACGCTGCTCAGCCTTGCTTTCACTTTTTCCCAATAAACACTTGCACTATTGCAGCGAAAAAATCCCCTGCAACCCAAAAGGCATTTTCCCCAACATTCCCCAGCACACCAACATTATAAAAGAGATCTAAGACTGTTGACAGAACACCTTGAACTGCAAACAAGGTCAATTCTGACTCTCTCTATAATAAATTTTGATCCATGAAGGTTTTATATTTGTAAAACTTTTCTTGAGCTGATTTAAGTGATTTAAAAATCCATGACACTATCATACTGTAAAGTCTGTGAGCCAAGTGGGAACTCATGGGTAGGGCCATCGGGAGAAACACTACTGGACATATTTAAGTAAAACCAGCAAGCTAGAAACTTTTTTGGCACATGTGCCAGGTGAGTAGTTCCAGTGGTCTGAATAGGCGCCATCTTGGAATCTGGTTTCAAGATCCAATAAAACATCTATTGTACAGCATTTCAGTAAAAGGTTATTGAAGGGGGAAAATAAAGCTCCTTTTATTAGCTTATCTTGGTTGCTAATGGGACGATAAGTTCAAACAGATAATTCTAAAGACGTGCTGTGTGTATCATCGACTCTTATCTCATTATTGTCTCCAAACCATTCATCTTTTCCTGCAGAACATCTGGCTGCTCCCATCTTCCTGCAGAGTGTTGACTTTGTTTACAGACTCATGTTACATGTTCATTCAGACATGTTAACAGTAATTGCTCTGCATCTTAATGATAGCTCCATCTGTTCCTGCAGTTTGCCTTATTTTTGGTTTAAGGGTGATTCAGCTTATCTGGTTTAGTGCCTCAAAGACGAATCAATTAACCGATGAATAATTAATCAGTGACAATGACAAGAGGGTCATTTATTCAGGAACATTATTAAACATTTGTTTCATATCTTTGTTCATAGCTTACGTTGTCTTTTGCAAAAAAGATTAGTCATTCAACAGAAAATTAATCAACAATTGTGAGAATAAATTATACCTTTAGGTAATTTTTCAAACAAAAATGCCAAACATTTGTTTCATTGTAGTATCAAAAAAGAAGATTTGTTGCTTCTCTCTGTTTTCTATCATTTTAAATCAAACATTTAGTGCTGTGGACTGTTGGTTGACCAGAACAAGACATCTAAAGATGTCACTTTGGGCGCTGGGAACCATGATGTCCATTTTCTTTTATTTTTGGACATTTTATAATCTAAACAATTAATAACTGAGACAAAAAAAAAGACAGATTAATTTATAATGTAATTGATCCGCAACCTCTATCAGAATAATGTAATTGGTGCTAATGTTTTCTGTCTGTTTTTTTAGGAGCTTTTTTACATAAACTGAAATGACAGATTGCAACTAGGTGCTTGATTCTTTTTTGGATATTTTGTTTTGCACTCATTTACCTAGAATCCCACAAGTGTCTGAGAGCCAATCAATCCCCTTGACCCAAAACACTGTGCAAATACTGGCTGATGCAAGCGACAGAGGAAAAACAACTGTAGGCTGACATTTCGTTTGTCAGTGAAACTATCTGCTATCATCTGCTGTTTCTGTTCCCACCACAGAAACTCACATCCAGGTCAATGAATCCAGGAAGAGGAATAAGCTTTTGTATCTGTTAAACAGTTCGACATGTTGTGAAATATACACATGTGCTTTCTTGCAGAGCGAGATGTGAAGATGGATACCATTCTCACATCTGTCTCTTCAATATGAAGGCTGTGCTGCGGCACTCACCTTTGGCTCGGTGGTCCTCCTCTTTGGGACACTGTCCTCCCTCCCACCAGCGTCTCTTCAGGATCTCCAGCCTGTTGCTCTCCTGCAGCTGTAAGATCCCCAGAGTGATCTCATCTCTGTACGGAGAGCCTGAAGAGATAGAAGATCTCAGAGTCATTCACGATCTGAAATTCAGTCCAGTCTCAACCTAATATCATGCATTTTGAAAACCAAAACAAACATATTAATCATCTGGTTCTTGACCTCAATGGTGTTAACTGGCTGACCCGGGAGTCGATCACACTGGATACTTTGTTAGCAGTGGATTGAGCCCATTATGGCCACTTTTAACTACAGTGTAGCTTGGTTACTCAGCAAGTAACTGGGCTGTAGCAAAAGTGATATCACTAGCAAGTAACAACAGCTTGGGGAAAGTGAGCATAACAGTTGCTATCGTAGATACATATGTGGTTAAAATGTTACTGCAACATGATGCAAAAACATTTTTTTCACTTTCTCCTAATGTTAGGTTTACCAGATCCCATGGAGGTGGACCTCTTTGGCTCCATGTTGCCACAGATTAATAAAGCAGCCTGCACTTCCCACTGAGGGCCGAATTCACAAACTGCGTGTGGCTATTAGCGCTGGTATTAGTTAGTTAGACTTTGTTTGGCAAAGTACTGAATACTGTATACCCTCATGTAGTGATGTCTGCTGGTGAGTCAGTCTAACAGTGTCGGATGGGTTGAGGCTGTGAATTTGACCAAGTTTGACCACTTTATCACTATTCCCTCTCACTTGTAGCTGTTTTTTCGTTATCTTTTGAATTTAATATGAATTATGGAACCGTTTTTGTTCACGTTTGTTTCCCCCGTTTCGTAAAATAAATTATTGAAAGTTGCTTTTGAAGTGCGTGACAGAAGTGCGTACTGAGAACGACCGCAGACTGTCACCTGTTCAACGCATCAATATCTTCGGATGCCATTAAAGTAATAATGATTATAATAATAATGTCAAAATATTATTTACAGACTGATTTAACAGACGATCACTGCTGCCACGAACACTGGAAAGTCTGGGCGAGAGGCTTCCACAGAGGAGCGCCCAGTTTGCACCAGCTTTCTAAAGACATTATTTACATCACTCAAACTGAGTGTGGCTATTAGCACTGGTGTTAGTGAATTAGACGTTGTTTATCAATGAGGCTCATTTGCATAGAAATGGGCAATTTTTGCGCCAAATATATGCATATTACCTCATTTAAATACATGCAAATAACACCGGAGCACCGAGATGCAATCTGCTTGGCAGCGCAGTTAGTGGAGCATTTCACCCTCTGTGCGTACTTTGTGAATTAGACGGTATGTGTTTGCTCCATTTTTACCGGATTAGCGGCTGCAAAATCCACGCAATCCTTATGTGAATTCGGCCCTGAGTTTGTAAATCGCCAACTATTCCCTTAAATGTTGCTAAAGAGCTGCATTGCTGGGCGGAAGATGGATTCAGTATTATCAATAAATTATTGCATTTTTTGTAACTGTGTGGTTATTTAATGAAACACTGCCAGGTATATGTAGTAATTGTTTTATAAAAGCAATAAACTACTTGAGGCCATGGTTTTCACAAGCAGCAACCTCTGGGGCTGAAAAATTAAGGCAAGGCAGAAGTGACAAAAACTGCAGTTTCTCTAATGACCACTTGAGGCTGGCTCCAAGAGCGAGTCAATGCCCATAGACCCCCATGTATGAATACCCACATTTACAGCAGAAATAATCATGTTTACAGCCTGGTACAAAAATTGGTGGTCTCTATGGTTATTTTTTCTTGCTCACTGTACAGGGTGTTTTTTTTAATATATCTCATCCATTTAATGTTAATAAAGCTTAAAGCTTTGCATTATAAAGGGTGTGGATGTTTGAGTAATAGATGGGCGCAGTTGGTTAGCAAGTCACTACTACAGCAACAACATTGTTTAGGTAATGTAAAAACGGTGTAAACCCAGATTATAGGTGTAGTTGTAGCTGTCACTACTTCAGTGTATTCATTTCATGAAAGTTATTTGTAATGTTTTGGCCACCTTCCAAAATTTGTTTAGCATTTGGTTGTACTAAAAGATCTTCCAGTTTTGTGTGTGCACTACAAGTGACAATGCCACAGCGAAACCCAAGCATTCCATAGCGTAGTTACGTCATCAGGGGACTGCGTGTGTCTGCTACTTGCAACAAGGCACCTCAGCTGATTGTCATCTAAAGTTTGTATTTGGTCAAAAAAAAACAAAAAAAAACTGCACTTTTGATGTATGAGCCTCATTTTGCTGCCCCATTGCATTCCCATGTACACTGTAATGCACATAAAGCTAGCGTAGCATCAGCTAAATAAGTTAAATAACTAAAACCAAAAACACATGATTGGTTGATGCTTCACCGTCATTGGAGTGCTGAAAACAGTTGAGGCCAGCTCAACTTTGATTTGTAGTGGGTCACGCCCATCCACAGCAGCAAGTGTTCTGTGTAACTTCATGTCACCGACTTCCATTGAAAATAACTTGTAGCCTGTTGCTGTGTTGCATGTAGTGTGAACACAGTGTAAGGAGTCAGATCTTCAGGTTTTTTTTAGTAGTATATTTTGTTTTAATGGTAATAAGCCTGGTTGCAGCCTGCATTTTCACATTAACAATAACTGTAAATGCACTGTGCTGTACTTAAGCTAGAAGCTAACGTGAGGGTGATCTCCACGCTCTTGTCCAATTATGATAGCTTCTGGCTCAAGGTTGCGATGTAAACACAACCGGTACAAACATTCCTTTGTCCCGTTGTCAGTCAGGCTCATTAATGAGCAAATGTAAGCAGGTATTGTGTACTGTGTATTGCATACGGTGTATTAGCACCTTAATGTGTACTTTTTTTCTGTGTACGGTGTATTTAGCACCTTTATGGGTACTATTTTCTGTGTATGGTGTATTAGCACCCTTATGTGTACTAGCACCTTGATGTGAACCAGCACTTTAATATGTACCAGCACTCTAATGTGCACCAGCACTTTAACTTCAATGAGAAGGCATGGCAAATTGCACAGCTCAGATGAGCAAATATCTTTTTGCACATTGGTCCCTATCTGGTTACCAGTATGTTTTTTTTTTTTTGTTTGTTTGTATGTTTCGTGCTGTTTAAAGCAGCAGTACCCTGTCTCCAATCCAAATTTCTCCCAAGGGAGACAAATAAATGGACTTTGACTTTGACTTGACTTTGGCCAAAATGGCAAACTCAAGGTTTCAGAAATGGAGTCCATAAACCAATGGGTTATGTCATAGTGGCTGTGTCAATTATTTTATGCAGTCTGTGGGTTTACAATGATTTTAGAACAGCTTGTGTCATGCCAAACTACAGGCCTTTGCTGTACTAACATCAAGTGGCTTGTTGCTTCAATAAACTGTCCAGCACATCCAGCTTTTTATTTTTTATTGAAGAATAAAGTAAGTTAACCTCACAGTTCACTTGCTCACCTTTTTTTTGTTAAACATGTGTTGAGCTGTACTAATAGGCACAGCGTGCTCTTTGCTGCTCTGTGGGTTTTTATATTGACATTTTCCTCCAAGTGAGCACAAATGAGCTGATAAACTGTGAGCAGAAAGAGACGGGGTAGCAGCTGCATCTTTGATACAAATCAAACAAACCTGCTTCTGTTTTGAATCTCATTTTGCACCTAAGGTCTGTGTTCTGCTCTATCCAAAACTAAATATAGACCTCTATGCATAGGAACATTGCTTTTGGTGACTGGTTATAAATCTTAAATGAGTTTAGCAGCATGGTGTCAGCCACCAACCCTGTCACCCTAGAAATTAAGTTGACTATTACTTAGCAACTTATATGTTTTGTGTGGAAAGCAATGGCGTCTGTTTACACACATGTATCACTGTTAAAGTCCTGATACAGTAGACACATTTTAAAAATGGAATTACCGCCTCGTGGTTATATGCCTCTGCACACCAGCCAAGTTGAACTTACAGTTTACATCCATGTCTGTGAAAATATGGATGCTTCACACACATCATCCCCCAGCAGCACAGAAGATCTATACAATCAGCACAGTTTCAAGGTGGACACCCAAAATTAGAGTCACCAATTCAGTAGCTGACCAAACGTGACCTCTCCTGTTTATGAGTTATGACACTGAGTAATGGCTAGAAAAGTGTTTTTGGAGAACGTTATAATGTCAGAGTTGAGCTTTGACCTCTTGAATATAACATTTCAGCACTTCATTATTATATGTTAGACATTTGTGTGAAATTTTACAGTGACACACACAATAACCTTGATCTTTGACTTTCGACCACCGAATTCTAATCACTTCTTTCTTGAATCCAAGTGGATGTTTGTGCCAAATTCGTGAAAACTCCCTCAAGGTCTTCTTGAGATATTGCGCTCAGAGAATGGGATGGACGCAAGGTCACAGTAACCTTGACCTTTGACCACTACATTTTTATCAGTTCATTGTTGAGTTCAAGTGAATGTTTGTGTCAAATTTTAAGAAATTCCCTCAGGGTGTTCTTGAGACATCATATCACGAGAATGGGACGGACAAGGTCACAATGACCCTCAACTTTGACCACCAAAATCCAGTCAGTTCATCGTTGAGTCCAAGGGGATGTATTTGCCAAATTTAAAGAAATTCCTTGAAGGCGTTCTTGAGATAACGCACTCACAAGAATGAGACGAATGCAAGTTCACAGTGACCTTGACGTTTGACTTATGACCACCAAAATCTAATCAGATCATTGTTGAGTCTAAGTGGATTCTTGAGATTTCACGTTCACAAGAATGGGACGGACGCATGAACGAACAACCTGAAAACATAATGCCTTTGGTCAGGGCAATCCCCGGCGCAGAGGCATAAAAACATTGCCAAAGAAGACATTATTCAATACATATCAAAGTATGGACCCTCCTGTAAAGACGTGATTTATTGCAGGATCAATCTTCCAAGAAACACTTTAATAAACCCTGAAGTCCTGCCAGTTACACAAAGATGATTCAGCTCTATGGTAATTTTTGAGTCTATAGTATCATATCAGTACCTGTCATTAATATTTTGTCCACTACAGCTGTAAGTTATGAAGCTTTCATCCTCACCTCGTCCTCTCTTCCTCCCCG